AGGAACTCTCAAATTACTTTCTAGCTTATTACTTAGTTTAAATTTTCATCCAATATTCTTGATTAATTTTTCAATTTATTCGTGATTGATTGTCCAACTTAAGCGTAAATAGTGAGCTGGTTATTGAAATTCTAATCCTCGTGGAAACGATCTCTTACTCTACTCTTTATTACTTTTACTACTGATGCACTTGCCAAAGTTGCAACAACCCTCGAAAATTTTGCACATTGAAGAGCTTTCTTCTTGCTGCCAATTGATTATGCACCCCTTCTTCCTCTTCTTTTAATCAACAGGGGACTAATGACAATCTACTATGTTGTAACAATGTTAATTTAAACCTGATTTTAACTGGTCGAGTCAACCCAAAACTCGGTGAACCGATTATCTAATCAGTTCAAGCCAAGCAATAGACCAATCATGTATCAGACTCGTTTGAAAACCATTTTGAACCGGTCGGGTTTTATCAAAATCGATGACTCAGTCCAGTCACAAAAAAAATCGGTTGGTCATGCCTTTTTTTATAAAAAAAAAATGACCGGGAAAAAATGAACCTGTGATCACCAGGGGAGAAATTAAAAAAAAAATAAAATCAAAATTTTTCACAAATTTTAAAAAAATCATAACTCTTCAAAACAAAACCCTTACTCACAATTTCGAGTTCCTCTACTTGCTCCAACACTTCTATTCTCTATTCGTTGATTTTCATCTTCTCTTTACTCCACAAAGCCATTAGCTCCGAGCTCGACTCTCTCCACCTTGACACCTTGAGGAGCATTTCTAACCACGATAAGGCCTTTTTAGTCTCATCATTGTTCGAACACTATCACTTTCTTCACACAGTTTACAAGCACCACTTCAATATCGAGGACTAGGTGTGTTCATGTTTTTCATTTTTTTTAATTTTATTTTCTCTGTTTTTATGTAGAAAAGCTCCAAATTTTATTTTAAAAATGAAGTCCTTAATAAAATATTTTTTGGTTATGTCTTGTGTTGAATTGTAGAAAATCCAAGTGTGGATTTTAATAAAATATTTTTAAAATATTCATTTTAAAAACTCTAAATTCCCAAGTATGGAATTGTCTAGTCAAGATTATTATACTAGAAATTGTTTGCATAGCATTATCGTGTTTTGAATTGAATTTGGTTTACAATTTCCCAAGTTTCGCATAATTTGTAGAATTTGATGTGTAAGATACATAATAAATTCAACAACTTTCTTATGGAAACTAATGTGAAATGACTTTGTTGTGGATTTTACACTAAATTTTTAAATATAAAATAGAGATTTACATATACTTATACCAATTGAACCAGTGTTTTAAAACCCCACCCCCCGGGTTGACCCGGGTCAACCCTGACCCCTCCCCTCTGAGGGTTGGGGTCACAAGTTGGACCCTATATGCATATTGACCCATCCGACCCCAAAACCCGGCCGTGTTTCAGTGACTCCCGGGTCAGAGGAGTCAAAGGGGGTCACTGCATGTTTTTTTTTTTTAAAAAAATTCCAAGAAACAACATCGTTTCATTAAAAAAATAAAATAAAAATGCTTGCAAACCTAAAGCTAATCATTCTCTTCTCTCTCAGAGACCTAGACATCTTCAATCTTCACCACGCTGTCGTGAATCTTCTTAAAATGGTAAGAATTTTACTCATTCAAATGAAATCCTTACGTTCGTCGATAGAAAACACAAACTCATTCTTACTTCCTTTAAATTTTCTTTTGACAGGAACCTTCTCAAAAGAGGCAGAACCGGGTCAGCGTAGTGACCCCATTAGAGTATGAGTTTTGTACTTTGGTATCTTGATACTTTAATTAGGTTATGCAATATTAACTTGTGATTGTAATTGGTGAATTATCTTAAGTATATTTTGAATTTTTGATGATTGGTGGTTTGTTTTTTTCATATTTTCATATAGGATATATATATTTATATTTTTTAATATATAAAATCGGGTCAGCGTAGTGACCCCGTGACCCTCCGGTTGAACCCGTGACTCCGTGACCCCTGACCTCGGTCGGGTCAATGGCCGGGCCAGGTTTTTAAACACTGAATTGAACCAGTGATTCATCAATTAAATCAGTGACCCAATAATTTAGTATCCTGATCGAGTCAATTACTGGATCGGATTTAATAACACTGTGAAGCTCTTTTATCCTTTATATCATTATCATTTGGAAGGATTCATTGATCATTTTGACGAAATAATTCACATCACTCTTCCAATAGTAATTTGGCTTTTATTATCAGAAAATGAGAAATTCAATATGATCAAATCAGGCATTTTGTGATAGGAAAAATCCATAGAAATTATAAGTTTAGCACTCATTAGTTTTATAGCGATTCATCGTATCATATGCCAGTAGGATCAATCTACTTACAGAAATAATGAAACACAAAAGTAATTTTGCGACATTTTCTCCAAGATCATTAGCTATTTTTCTTTTACCCGGAATACAATAAGGAAAAGAAAATAATAATATAGAAAATTACTTTTGTGCTTAATAGAGAAATATAATATAAAAAAAATAGAAATAGAATTCATATAAAAAAAATGCTTCTACTGTGTGGTATTTTGTTATGGTTGGTGACCGAACGTGGTATATAACCATCAAAAGATCAGTCTTTAATTAGCTTGCATTTGTCATTATATTATTTTGAGGAAATAAAAAAAAAAAAAAAAAACTTTGTAGCCACAGTTATCGCTCCTAAAAATGACACCGAAAAAATATTAATACCCAGAGCACTAAAGGTATTGGGAGACTGACCCTTTTGCTCTTGTTATTTTTTAAATTACTATTCTACCTTTCTTTTTAAATTGTACATCAATCTGCTTCTATTTAACCATGTTAACGGTTATCTATTCGAGTAACTGGCTAGTTACACAAGTAGATGATGGCAATAATATTTTTTTTCCAAACTAAATTCTAGTGTCTTGAACATGTATAAAAAGGACTTAAGATGAGTATTTGTGGTTCCTTTACAATTAAGGACAATCCTCATCTATTTCAATGTGTCCCCATTATTATATCATGCATACACATGTTTGGACATTGTTGAAAATCGACAATTACACAAATAAATAAAACATATATGAGAGAAGGGGAGAGAGATTGACACGGTGATTTATCCTGGTTAATCCAATGTAGGCTACGTCCAGCTTGTCTGTACTATATTCACTTCACTGTCACTCGTTACAAGTCACTCAGTTTACAAGAAAAATATAAATAGAATTAGAAAACACTAACAGCTATTCATGGGCTCAAGCCCAAATTACTAAAAAAAGAAAAAAAAATTATAATAAATTAGAGGCTCACAATAGTACTAGCCTCTACGGGCCCGGGGACCCCTAATTGCCTTTCTACTGACCCCTCTAATAAGGGTCCTCATCAGAATGCGAAGTATAAGTCATACCCAATAGATATCATATATGTGTTTGAGGCTCCAAAATAATTACAGACAATCTCTATTCAAACTCTTTATACCTGAAACTAAACATACTAAACTAAATTTTATGTATATATTTATGTTCTTGTGACATTGTTTTTGAAGATTTATATCTAATTACTTTGTTGTTCCCAAAACCCATGAAGGAAGCCTTTTTTGAGAAAAAAAATTGATCAAATCTCCTTTGGATATTTGTCATCGTGTATATCTTGAAAAGTCACGCGAAAAAAAAAAAAAAAAAAAACACTTACTCAAACACCAAAGTCAAAAGCTATGTCATTTCGAAGTTTAAATCATTTTAGGGTTTAAAGAATTGAAGGATGATTGTCCTCAATTATTTTGGACCCACAAACATTTATCCCAAGTCCATTAATATATATACAAGACATTAGTCCTTTAAAGATGAGAAACGAGTAGGATTTTGTAGGATGAAACTCACTCTTATAGGCTTCTGGGCGTTGTACTCGAGTAACTAAGTCACAATAGTTACTCAAGTACAAAGTCCATGTACTCGAGTAACTTATCTAGTCAACGATCAAACATTGGTAAATTAGTGTATATTTTTTATAAAAGGTTAAGATAAAAAAAATAGTGTAAAATCAGTGGCAAAGTGATAATATTTATTTTAAGTAGGGGCAAAAGTATCATTCACCCAAAGGTATTAATCAAATAATTAAACAAAGGTAGTAAATATGAAATCAAAAAATATGTAATAGTTTTTTTTGTTTCCTTATGATGCCAAGAATTGTAAAAGTAGCCTCTTCCCCGCTATCTGGATAGGTAGAAATCAACCTGTGGTTGCAGTCTTACAGAGAGACAAGAACAAAACAACATCGTCTTCAGACAATTATTTCGTAAGCCAAAATGATTATTATTCCCTCACTTCTTTTTTTGGTACAATATTATTCCCTCACTTTAGTTTGCATTATTTTTGAGTGAGAAACGCATACGAGACTGTTATGTTCCAAGAGTTCTTGGCTTCCTCTTCAACCACGCCCATCATTTATTTACCACACATCAAAGACTTTTTACAAATGTTCATGTGTCAGTCATCGATGAACAAACAAACACAATTTGGTCGAGGGATATCCACTCCCTAGTCCCTAGTGATGTTATAAGGTTCTCATAAATTCGTAAACTATATCAATTTTTTAAAAATATTATAAATTTATCATATAGAACTTGTGGGCAGATATCATAAGTACTTGAATTGAATATTTAAATTCCGCTATTCCCGGTAACCCTTCCACCACAAAGAAGACAAACGAAAGACCATTGACCCGTTGTATTATTGATGTATCTTATCCTCTAATGGCTTTTCCTCTCTCTCCCTCTCTTTTATTTGGAGCCAACCAACCCTTTTCAACTTCTTTGTTGTTTGTACCCCACCACAACCAATAGATTATGCACCACAACTCTTATTATTATTACTATTATTGTTGTTGTTATTATTATTATTATATAGCTATTTTGCCTTTTATGGATGGTACCAAAATTGACGAAGGATCGAAAAAGTCGAAGGCTAGAACTAGCCCACTTGTACGCTGTTATTGTGAGACTCGTTTACATCAAATCAAACAAACTATTGATGGATGCACAAAGCTGAACCGATGAGAGTGCCTTGTTGAAATACTTTGCTTTGTTGCCAAGGTACTCGTTCCAAGTCACTGACCGATAAAGAGCGGGCCTACTTGGGCCCACTAATTTTATATGTGGGCATATTTGAACATTTCCTGGGGGCCCATATAGATAGGCAACCGAGAACCGTTGTCGGGTGCGGTTCACTAAGACCCGATGGAGCACACTCGGGTACAACCCGTTTGACAAAATGTGGAGGAGATCACCCACGTTGATCACTAGCCCTTCGGGTATGGGTGGCACTGTGACCCACCCTACACCTTCCCTAAGAGCCTGCAACCCACTGATATTGTTTTGGTACAGGATTGTGAGGAGAGTGGAGTCTGTGTGCGGGGCAAGACCCATGGCCCGATCCGGATCGGGACAACTCGGGTATGAATTCAAATGCAAGGCCGCACAAGCCCCGTTGAATTCACCTCTTGGGCCAGCCCATTTGAGGTCATCCTTTGAAATACCCAAGGAAGTCAACACGAGCCTCATTAGCTTCCCTGCTAGCTTTTCCATAGCTTCTTCATATTGCACAACAATATCACTGAAAATGACACACACACACACCAAAAAAAAAAGCCCCCCAAATGGAGGAGTGTTTAGAAAACAGAGATAATATTGGTACATCAAAGTTTTACTCCATTTCTATACTATTTTCTTTTTAATAATAGTGTTGAAAATATACATATTCTACTTAGTTCTCTTTTACCTTTTATTTTCGAACAAAACAAAGTATAAAAATGGTGTAATATTTTTTGTGTAAATATTAGTAATCTTTTAAAAAACTAGTCCACTGTCGAAGAATAGGAAACGGGTGCTTTTTGGCTAAGGGACTAAGTGAGCAATGAGATTAAACGGGAATTTATACATTACAATCAGGGTTTTATAATTATCAAGTTACATCAGAATTGAAATCTAATGTTATAGAGACAAAAAGCATATAAGATCTATATGTTAGAAACAATTATGTGTAGAACCCAAACAAGCATGAAAATTGAAGACTGTGTAGGAAGATTTAAATTCTCATGTTGAATAAGAATTATAAAACTCTTACAATTAATCCAAAACTTTAAGGTGGGTGGGTGATCTTTCTACTTAAATGATGCTCACTCAGTCATTTGTTAGTTAAAGACTCCACTCACTCGTACTTAGATTTCCCAATATATAAATAGATTCTCATCACTCCTGAAATCTTCTCGGTGGGTCCTTTGCTCTCATTGTGATCTTTGCTAATTGCATTAGGATAAGAAACTAGTAGTACCATCACCACTACAACACAAAAACTTGCAAAAAAAGTCTTATTTTATTTTCAAAACAGAAGAAGAAGAAGAATAAAGAAAAATAGAGAGGAGTTAGCTTGTTAAGTTTTCAGTTTTAGTATTGAGAACACGTGCGTGAGGGTGTTTTGTTTAAGGTACCAGTATTTGCCGTAGTCTTGGGGCCAGAGTTGGAGGAAATGGTCAAGAGGAGACCCAACAATGGTGAAGCATTCAGACCACATGAGTTTGGGGAAGAAAGAGGAGATGCGTGCACGACCATAGCCAGAAACACCGTCAGGGGTACGAGCTGCTTTGAGTTTCTGATGAAGAGGAAGTGAGAATAGGGTTTGACCAGCTCGCTGAATGTCACTGAAGAGACTTATGGGGATGCCATGGTTTACCACTTGAAAGACACCCCAAGTTTTGCATGCATGGCCTATGAGCTTTGAAGCATTTGGGTCATTGAGATCGATAACGGGTATGGTCTCACCCTGGCTAGAATATGAAGGGTAAGTGTGATCATCGAGTTGTGTCGTCCAAGCATAAGAATCAGGGAGTTCTTGTAGAGAGTTGAAGTCAGGGTGCTTGTGGTGAAGGTGCACGGGGTGAGCTTGAAAGGCTTCTGAGAGGGAAGGCATAGTGGAAGAAATTAAGACACTAAAGGTTGTGCTTGTATGTGTGGGTGTTGAATGCTACTTAAATAGTAATGAGACTTATTAGGAACAGGACTTATTATGAGTTGGGTTTGGGCAAAAGTAGCTATTGTTGTTTGGAGGTAGTACTTGCTACAAAACATACTACTATATACATTCAGAAAGATGCGCTGAGAAACATGATTGTGTGTATGGAATGGTGGGGAAGATGGCGACAATGTTGCCCTTAATTCAAACCAAACTAAAGTGAGACACACACACATAAAATAGAGAGAGAGAGAGAGAGAGGGGAGGGTGTTTTCATGGGATATTGACTTTTGTGTTATATTTTTCAATAAAAATCACATAACAGTTTAAATATTGTTTTTTAAACTGTCATAACAGTAAAGTCGCTAGGTAATGTAGCGACTATAGTCTAGTCACGTGGCGTGTTCGTAGAGGTCACAAAAATCTAATTAACCTATTCGGCCAAAGTCACTATATGGTGTAATGATTTTGGGCTATTTTGGATTAACCTATAACCCAAAATAACTACATCATGTAGCAACTATTGAATATGTGTCATTCTAGTAATTTTTATTGCAAAACGTGACACAAAAGTCAATGTCATGTGTTTTTATATATATTTTTCTTACATCATTTTTGTACTACACATGTTACTTTTTGCACAGTGCCCTTAAAATATTTAATAGTGTCTTTTAAATAAAATTTTTTGTTAAAACTTCAATAATATAAGTTTATACTAAAAAATAAATTATGTGCTACTATCAAAATTAAGATACACAAGGAAAAAACAAAACAAAAACAGTTTTATACATGGACAAGGGAAAGAGAAAGGACAGGGGCCCCTACCTCAACATGTGTCCTTGTCTTGTTTTCAAGTAGAGAAAACATTTTAGTCGTACTCTTCCAGCTTGGTTCTGGTCTCTTTTATTCACTATTGGACAATATATATAGGGCCATTTGGGTAGTTGGCATCATGACCAAAGAGTTATCCTAGATAAACAATCAAGAGTAATATACAGTCAAGTGTTCAACGCTAAAGCTCGTTCTTAATTCGTTACATAATTCTCTCTAGAGTTTCGATGTGACGCATTACACCATTTTATCACTAGTCTACAATCCTATGCAATAGTTCTATAATAATTTACCAAGACACGTTCATAAACATATTATTTTATATTTGTATTTTGATAATTTAATAACTATTAATCCCACTTTATTTACTGATCATGATATACACACAAAGCGTTTATTCAACTTCGTTTTTTTGTAAAACGGAAGCGTATAGCATTTTATTTTATTTTTCAAAACTTCACATGTTTATAGAGAAGAAGACAAAAGCACACAATTGAGCAATTTGTCTACGTGTGAGAATAATATAAATTATTAAAAAGGTTATCATCCAACACCTTAAGATTTTGGGTTGAAGTGGTTCTTTATATGGTATCAGAGCTTGAGTGACTACAAAAAAATTACAAGTTCAATCCTCACCGCCCCTATTTTAAAGTGGAATTAAAATAAAAAAACAGGTAAATCAAAAATTGAGCTTGTGCAATATCCATACTTCTAGCCTATGTAGCACCGATACTGACACGGGACACGTGACACGATACGACACGACACTCTGACACGTTAATTCTAAAAAATGTTAGATTTCGACACGTTAGGACACGTTTTGATATTAAATAATATTTTTAATTTATATAGTATAAATTATATTTAATATTCAATAACTTAACAAAAAATGAATCTGAACTTATAATATTCATAAATTTCGCAAAGAAACATAAGATATTCCTAATATTTATATTAAACTCAATAAAATAGTAATCGTAATCCAACGAATCTAATAGTTAGAACTAAAAACTCAACGCAACGTAATCTTTGAATCTTTGTTTGAATTTCTATAATGCGTGTTGGAGTGTCGGGGAGTGTCGGAGTGTCCGAGAGTGTCGGGAAGTGTCGGACACGACACCTCAGGACTTTTGAAGTGTCGGTGCTTCATAGCTTCTAGCCCAGAGCCCTCTTGCGTAAGAAGTGTGTTAGAGAATAATATAAATCATTAAAAAGGCTCTCACCCAACACCTTAAAATTTTGGATTGAAATAATTCTTTGCGACCTGAAAAGTTAAATAATTTAGGCAGAGAAAATAAATATTAATAAATAAAAAATGAGTGGACTGGATGATATTTCTACCCTATGCTTGCCCCTCTATTAGTTATAGTGGTCATTTCCAAGAAAAGCAGTAAAGTTTCCTATGGTATATTGCGGTTGGATTTGTGTTTTCCCTGTCCCATGTGCAAAAAGTTGGCTGATTGATATTCAGCATCAGCAATATTGCCGGTTTGATAGCACCACAACAATTCTGTGGATTGTCCCCATAATATCACCAAAGCTGATTCTTCTTTTCATTTGATTTGAAAACCTAATTTTTTTCCCAAAAATGAAAAAATAAAAGAAAAAAAAGTAATGGAGCTATCCTGGAGTGATTATTTAACATGATCATATTATGTAAGAAGATATTAGCCATTCATCAACAAATTAACGGTGACGATTTTGTCACTCTTTATTATAATATTTTTTTCTCATCTCTTATCACTATTAATGTACCCATAAATAATTAGAACCTCTTACATAACATTATTATATTAAAGTAAAATTATATCTAAAGTTACTATATATGCAGCAATGACATGTATATGATTATGATTTCTCACATTTAATATTTTCATCTTTTGTATAGTTATGATTTCTTACATTAACTGTGTTAATCTATATATATGAAAAATTTATCTACTACACGTAAAACGGCTACAAAAAATCAAACCCTTATATTAAATAAAATATAAGAGGATCAAACCCATAAATAATTAGATCCTCTCACGTAACATCATGGTCTAAAGAGTTAAATTATCCGGCTAAATTAAATATTGATCTCCCCTAATTTCGTTTTTACATTAGATCAAAAATCTAGATTTTGAAGCCACAACTCACATGGGTGTTGATTTCGTTCCCTGGGAGCGCGCAGTAAGCCTAAAAAGTCATTACTCGTAGACTGTCTGACTTTAGAGAATTCCACTTTGTTTACCTTTTTTATTTGCCTCTATCGACTTTGATTAAGAATGTTAACCAATTTCATACACGTGGTTTTAAAAAAAAAAAAAATTGTTTCGCAGTAAAAGAAAGATGCTTCCTGTCAACGTTATTGCGCGCATCTTTCTCATATTAATAATCATTGCGTTAGCACTTAGCAGTGAGAAAAAATTATAAAAAATAAACACATCAAAACGGCAAGAACTTAAGTTTTGGGTTTAATATTTGTAATGTTATAAGAGATAAATTTATCTCTTATACAAATAAAAATATGTGATATAAGAATAGAAAAAAAGAAAATATATGAACTCAATACACTTTTGTATATGTATATAAAAAAATTTATTTTTTACAATATAAAGAACATTTAACAGTAAGAGTTCGTTTGGATGAGCTTTTTTTTCTTCAAATGCTGCTTTTAAAAAAAAACACTTCTTAATTTAAGTTCGTTTCGATGTCTGCTTTTAAAAATAGCAGAAGTCACACAAAAAAAGTCAAAAACCTATTTTTTTTAGAAGATAAAAATTTTAACTTCTAAAAAAATAGAAATTAAAAAGCCAAATAATTTTTCAAAAAAAATAATTTTATAAAATATAAATAGTTTTAATTTTTGTAAAAAATAATTTTAAAATAAAGAAAAGATAAAAGTTAAAAAAAGAAAAATAAACGGGCTCTAAATTTTTTAAGTGAAAAAATGAGCAGCTTATGCAGTAAACCTTAGCAAATATTGATCCAGTATAACCGGAGAGAAATCTTTTTACGTTAAAATTTCACATGATTTGATCATATGAAATTTTTATATTTATCTTTCTTTAAAAATAATAATAAGAAATATTGACATACAAATTTTACATGATTAGATCATACAAAATTATAATATAAAATGATCTATTCCCATGAAACCGCTGAACCGATTTTGAACAAACGAACCTGGAAAAGTATCATTTTTTAGATTTCAACCTGAACCATGTGAATTGCAGTTTACAGTACTTAGCACAAAACCAATTTCATTTGTTTATTATAATGCTTTTAATTTTAATTTATTATATCTTATTATATCAATTTAATTTAAACAGTTAAACTAATGACTCACGAGTTAAATCGACGATTCATTGACTACAAACTCAATCTAGTAAATCACCAATTTGGATTTGATAAGTTGAAATAAAGTCAAGAAATGTGTTGATGTATAAAATGAATAAGGGTTTCTATGTTACACAAGATAAAATTATTTTTAACACATATGTAAAAAAACGTGTGACCCATCAAATAATGGTAGCTCAGTTAGCGCATAGGAGTTGAGCAGGTACAGATGAGAGCATGTGTTTGATCCTATCCAGTACCATCTTTGGAAACGATTTAAAGTCTTAATTCTGAACCCAGGATTGCATTGCGTGGATAATATCTGTAGTTTATAAATAGATATATAAAGTATGTGTGACCTATATTTTCTTTTTCTCTCTCTTCTTTTAACTTGAGCCACACACTTTTATGTATATATAGAAAATAGTTTTATCTTTTACCATATAAGAAAGGAGAGTGTTACATTTACAAACTTATCTTTTTACAAATTACATTATATACTAGAAGTAATATGCTATGTGCTGGAAAATATTACCCCCAATAAAAAATGTAATTTATAAAAATTTATAAATTTTTTTTTATAAATATAACTTTTCAAAATAAATAAACACTGATGTAGGAAAAAAAAAACAATTCATCACTGCAGGCCACTTCAGGAAAAGCCAAATTTTACGGTATTTTTTTGTTTTTTGGTATCCTAAATTTACGGTAACTTTATTGTAATTAACTATGTTTCCAAAAGAGTAATTATATAAAAAAAAAAAAATTAGTCACCGATTGACCATCTTATCACCGTTTTAAAAAAAAATTATCATTTTATTC